CCGGCAGTATTAAATTTAGTGTAAGCAGAGAGTCCATATGTGTTTGGGAATGCTTTGGTGAATTTTGTCCTAAAGGATACATGGCCCAAATTTTTTATACAGATGCCTAATTATAAATATCATATAAGTTATTTTATAATAATAGGAAACCACACTGAAAAAATTCAATGAGGAGATTCTTCTTCACAGTCAGCAAAGACATCCTAACATTGTCCAGTTAATTGGTGTCTATTATCCTCCTCGTTCAAAAGTACCAATGTTAGTAATGGAGTATCTTCCTTTCACTCTTAGAGAGTCACTGGAACACCATAAACTGCCACTTCAAATGAAGTATTCCATTCTCTCCGATGTTGCTAAAGGTTTATGCTATCTTCATGGTAAACGTCCTGCTATCGTACATCGTGACCTCACTGCTAATAACGTGTTATTAACACCGCTATACTCGGCTAAGATATCAGATCTTGGAGTATCAAGATTAATTGATAAATTCAAATCTCATCAGCAGCTCACTCAAGTCCCTGGCAATGCTATTGTAATGCCACCAGAGGCTCTTGCAACTAAACCTGTCTACAATGAAAAGGTTGACGTGTTCACTTATGGCTGTCTCATTCTTCACGTTCTCACTTGTCAATTCCCTGAACCAACTGATGCATTTGTCCAGTACTTTATGTTCTGGCAGTCGAAGGTAGCTGAGTGGGACAGACGATCGAAATATATCCAGAAAATACCAGAAGATGAGAAAGACTTCCTTCCTTTAGCTAAGCAATGCCTTCAAGATAATCCTAGTACTAGACCAGATATGAGTCAAGTGCTTCAATCTGTGGAAGAGAAATGTACGAAAAGTAATGAGACCCTGCTGCATATAATTCGTGAGAAAGATAAAGCTAAAGATACTATGAAATTGTTAGCCTTAAGTCATAAAAAGCAAATTGAGGCAAAGGAAGATGAGATTGATGAGAAAGAATTGAAATTGGAGAAAACTAAAAGAGAAAAAGATTTATATATGAATCAACTACACGTATTTAAGTCAAAATATAAAGCAGATATGGCAGTAAAAGAGGCTGAGATTGCAACCCATATTGCTAAGAAACGAATATATGGAGATATAATAGAGCGACGAAAATTAGTACAGACATGGTTGGGAAGAATTGTGGAGTCGCTAGAAGAAAAAAGTTTTCAAATTCGTGTGACACGGCCATTGCTATTCAATAGTCTTTTCTTAGTTCCCATAGCAATAGTTGCAATAGCTATTTTATTAATAATCTTTTTTTCCTTTATCTATTTTGGGTTTTGGTTGTATATCGTTGCAGTTAGGAAGTTTTTTGATCTACTGACTCTACTTATTAAGAACTACGATTTAATCATCTTGTTAATATTTTCCTTTGCTGTTTACAAATGCTTTAAAATGTTACATTAGCGTTCAGTTTTGTAATAACTTTTAAAAAGAAAATATTAAAAACACTAATATTGTATATACATGTTGCATTATACTGTACATAAAAAACACAGCAATCAGCTTTTGATTATTTTGTGTCTGGTATCGTATCATATATTGGAGCAATATTAGGTACATTATATGCTGCATTAGCTCTTACAGTCTCATATGCAACATTAACTTGCAATCCTTCTCCAGATTTTCCATAGGCTTCATTAAACATCATATGGCCTCCTTTTTGACTTGTAATGTCACCATTTTTGTCTGAATAATGAAATATTATAATAATAAAAATTTAATGTATAATAATTTACTTTTCTTTTTCTTCCTTTTCATAGTTATATACATACCAGCAATAATAATCACTAGTATAGTTATAACAATTATTGTTATTACTCCAGCACAGCTCAGTGTTACTATCAGGACTTGTGAACCACTTGATGACATGAATATGGAAATTGTAGAAGTGACAGATGAAGTAAATAAAGGTAAACTGATTGCCACTGTACTGTCAACTGAAAATAAAATAAAGTAAACACACATGCATACAATCATACATGCAAACAAGAGTACATGAAGGCTGATGAAGCTGATGTAAATAATGTAATGCATACATGTATACCTTGATTTATGGTACTTGTTAACATTGATCTCATTGACATTGTAGTAGGAGCTACCAAAGGCACTCTGAGTATTGTTATTAATGATGGTATATTAATAGCAGTATTGTTAAGCATTCCTATGTCATAGCTTAATGCATCTAATATTGATATACTAAATACTCCATTTGGTATGGTACTGATGCAATCAATAGCTATTGTGTCATGTAGTGATTTTAATATTTTGTAATATAATACTGGGACTTCTTCTCCTGTTGCATTGATGGCATGAAGTACTGCATAGCAACCAGTTGACAGAGAGTTCTGTCTAAAACTACACTCTAGACAAACTAATGTATCATTGACTGATAATATGACAGCCTTAATGACATGGTATGTAGCTGTTGGGAGAAAGACAGAAAATGAAGAAGAGAGAAATGAAAGAGCAGAATAAGAAAGCAGGACCAATTATAACAACAGGTTTTACAAAACATACTTATGTTGAAAGTGAAATCATTAGTTTCAGTGTTATTTGCAGTAATTAGTGACATGCTAACGTTATAAGTAACACCATATTCCAACAAGCTGGTTATATTAATAGTAACATTAACGTTGCCATCATTAGACTCCCATGTAAAGTAATGCTCTTCTTTTTCTTCATTTATTTTCAATAAAGCTAATCGAGGGACTTCTCCTTTACAGGATGCATTGTACTAAACAAAAGAATGTAATTGATGTTTTCGTCCCCAATGATGTATGCAGCACTGTACCAGATTGTGTAATACCTTAAAATCAATATAAACTTGCAATTTTTCAATATTAGTTTTATACTCTTGTATAAGCTGTGGCATCATTGCAACAACAGGGGCTATAGAAGAATATGATAGTATATGGTAATAGCAAAAGTTCAAATTATTTACCTTGGTATAAGATGATATCTGATAGTGTGGTAGTGTTTCCCATACCAACAATATTCCATGGTGTTATGCTAATATCATAGCCAATACAATAATTATTAATGTGTATATTGTATTGTGTATCAGTAATGTTAACTGATATATTAGCTAGTGATATTAGTATATTATAATGTAATATTGGTACTCCTATTAATGTAAATGGAGCTGTGTAGTGTAATGATAATGTCGTGCTGTTTATCTGTGTTACTGTAGAATCAATGACTTCTGATAGTAAACCTATAGAAGAGTTTTGTAAACATGTTTTGATTTAGTTTGTAATTAGCAAAAATTATTACCTTGTACTAAAAGTTGTGTAGAGGCATTAACTGTTGATCCATTGAAAGCAAAACATTCTATGATTGATCCATTCAGTGTAACTGATGCTGGCATTGTTAGAGTGTATAATCTACTGCCATTGGGGAATATTGTAGAATCAAAACTCCTGATCCCTTTTTTATAATTAACTGGATGTTCAACTGAAATACCATCAACTAGCCAGTATTGTCCTAAGCAATGGTGACATGTGCAGTTGAACTCTGCAGTTGAGTACAGACTTGCATTAACAGGTAATGGTGAAGAAAGAATAACTAGACAAAAATAAATTAATTATTTTAAGGCTAAAAACTAGTAAAAATTACCAACACTTCCATAAATTATTGAGACAGGAGTTAGCAACAGCAACACTAGCAAAATCATCTTCATTATAGATCTTAGAATTGGGCGCGGCTTCATGGGCGTTGACCTTGTTTGCATTGAATGGTGATGGAAATGAGAATCATGGTTTTCAAAGCGTCTTTTACTTTTACCTCGACTTTTGACCATGCCAGGGATAAAGACACAGGATTTTTATGGAGGTCAATTATGGCTAATTATATTACATTTTATAATGGTATACCCCTTGCCTTTATCTCCCAACTCATCTTGTAGTAAGTTGTTTACTGACTTGTCAATAGATCTATTTATGCTTCGCTGTCTTGTTGAATAGAAATTGAAATAATTCCTAACGCAGCAATTGCAGCTATTAGCAATGAAACAGTCAATGTGACCTGTATAGCTAACTGTCATCCTAATATACAAATGTTGCATAAACTATTTGTTTATGAGTCAAAACCAAATGAAACTTATAATCATACCCCTATCAAGTGTTCTCATTTTGATGAGCTAAACATGACTGCTGTTAGATCTAACTGTTCTGGTGCTATTAATACGAAGAACAAGAAAAACATATCTATTGTGTGTTATGGCCGAATGCAGCATGATAACACACACGAACAGTCTAATGAAGTACAGTTGTTAGTTCAGGGTTAGTGAGTAAAATTATTATTGTGTCTGTTACTCTTATAATTTGTAACACACACTGTCAAATAGGTACTATTGAAAATATTACTGGCCTAACAGTCAGAAAAGTTGATAAGAATCTGCTGAACATTAGTTGGACTCCTGTATTTGCTTATGATGGTTTAAATCTGTTTTATGAAATTCACCTAAATGATACTGCTCGTGTTCTATCTAGATCTAGTACATCATGGCACACTTCAGAATTAAACCCTTGTGAGGCATATCTTAATATCTCTATTACCCCATTTATCAACACAACTGAAAACAAAAATTTAACGGGTACAACTATATACTGGGATAATATACCTACAGATGGTAAGTTGTTTAAGAGTACTTATTGTCATGCTTTCTTTTTTATATATACATGTAGCACCACCTATTAACACTCCATTAAATTATACCATCATAATCGAAGAGAGTGGATCTGTTCGTATGAATCTTTCAATCAATGTAGATTAGAGTATTATTATTTGAGTATGATTGTTACATTTACATTTCAGATTTGTGACTGTCCAGCAATACCAAGCAATAAGCTCACATTGAAGAATGATACCTATTCTTTCTCAGTGACAGTACCAATAGTACCTAACAGTACTTGTTCAAGCACTGCTAGTGTAGCACTATCATTATACATGAATCTTGAAGTTGATATAGTGTTGCATAATATAATTGGATCAACAAAGCAGAATAAAAGAATATTAATAGGTTAGCAAGGGAACAACCGGGATTGTTTGGTTGGTCATGAATGTCATAAAAATTATGCTAAAGGTCATTTTATATCTCACCGTGCAATTTACACATGTATGTTCTTCTTTAATTTTTACAATACAGATACTAATCCTCTTGTAAGTTTTACCTTTATGAATGAAACTCCTGGTATATTGACTGTACACTGTAGCTTCATTAATGATTTCATCGTTAATGAGTATGCAACTGGTTGCATGGTTTTTTATTCTGATATGAATGAACCAGCACAATCTATGCCAAGGAATAAAAATGAGTCTACAGTTACAGTGAACATTACTTATAATATCAGTTCTAGTGGATATTACAATATTTGTGCAGTGGCAGTTCCTAGCCCTTTTCGCTGTCTAAATGGCACTGAAATGTCAAATCATACTACACCATCACCAACAACACCTAGTAGTAAGCATTTTAATGATTATTATTATACTATTTATTATGTATGTATATTAGAACGCAGATTTTCTCTACAAGACTGTAAGTTTGCCTATTATTTTCTTTCTGTAACACTGTTTTAATTTAGTTGGGTGGGGAGTATTGCCAGGACTAATTATTGGAGGAGTGGTGGGAATGGTCCTTGGAATTGTCTTACGACACTTTTTCCCCACCGTTAAGAAGAAAATCAAAAATCAAAGAATTTTTGGCTGTTGTGAAGGGACTACACTGTAATGGCAATGAACATAGCATGCTGATCAAAAGAAAATTAATTTTAATGTCATTTTATATTATTATTATACTTGTTATAATTAATTAATTATAACTATTGTAGTTGCTACGGCACGGTAACATGTTGATTACTTGGTTCTAATTCTAAACAAGTAAATAAAAAACATTAAAAATGGAAAAGCAGTAGGATTAAAAATGGGAAAAAGTAAAGAAACAAGAGAGTAC